CGCGAGTGAGTCTCTTACCGAAAGAGGTTTTGTGGGCTTAGGGTCCAACTTTTCGTTGTATCGTCCTTTACCCGCATGAAAACGCGCACATACAGAAGTAGGCTTAGCCTCACGGACCGTAGCAGATTTTTGTCTCGACATGGTATATACGTGCATGTGTAATTGGTAAATCGCGCATGCTTTGCACAGATAATTTCCTATCGTTAGCTCGTCGTGGCCCGAACTACTAATCTGTTGTTGCACACAAGGATCTCTTTTGGGATGGTTCGAATACACTTTATTTTAATCTAAAATCTGTCGTACCGTGGTGCTATGCATTGCATCATTTGAATACTGAACCCATCGGGTTATCTGAGCTGCACAGCTGGTACGTATGATTATCCACTTCGCCCTACAAACTGATTATCATGCTGAGGCGTGTCATGAAAGTATTGTGATGCTGACATTTGCCGGTCACCGAGTTCATTGGTCTTCTCGAACAGCTGACCCGTTGATCATTATGGCTAAATTGACGTTGTCTGTTTACCCGAATAGTGAATAAAATGTAGTGAGTGGTGCCTATGTATCCCCAGTGTCGTTTAATCAGATACGTTGAAGATGATGTAAGGCAAACACTGGTTCGAAAATGTCCCTTCACCATAAACAGTTGTGATTTATGAGCCAAGTTTTTACCTCTCGATCTCACAACCTGTCACTTGGTTTTAACTTCTTTGAATTTTCGGATTTTATTGAACACTTCCTGAATGGGTGATACCAAATAATGCCCCCCCTCCTCACACACGGCACTGAGGTTGAGGATGAACTGTTGTCTAGGCAAAGCAATGAATCAAGTTTTGTGCTGCTTTTATCCACCTCGTTCATCATGTCCCATTTTTATGCTATGCACTTTTTTCTTATGTATGTGCGTGTGTCTGTCTGTTCGTGCGATAGAAATTATTGAAAACGTGACCGTCGTAATTCACCATTTTGCCGTTGCATGTTCTGTGCCTATAACAGCAACATCACTCGTTTATTTCCTGTCTATTTAAGTTTTTCAAATTTCGGTTTCCGTTTTATTGACATTTTTAGTTGTTCATAATTTGAACGGACAAAAGTAACGTGTGCGCAGAATCTTTCGTCTGTTTTTCTTTTTTTCTTCATCTCTTATTCACTGCTGACAGTCGGTAACTTATGTTGCGATTGACTGCGTAACAACAGTTCGGTGATCTGGACACTCCTTAATTTACTTTAGCAACTCCCCCTTCTCTCACATTGTATCAGGATCAATCGACCCGATCGAAGCAGATGCTTACCCTGCTCAGTTTTGCTGAACGTGTTCTGGAGATCTGCGAAGAGGCGAATGCCAAAACCCGAATGGCCAATGGTCTAGTGCACGCGCGTATCGGTGAGTGCAACTCGTTTTGTGCTACTCGGTTTGTTGTTAGTAGTGTGAACAGAAAACCACAAATTGGACGGATGATCGTTGTTCTCCAAAAAAGGGCTGTCGTTATCCCGATCGATACACTAAGTTTTCGGCAACCTCATAAATCATTTTCAAGAGCAGAGACATCCCAATAAGGAATATAATCACGGTTATCAATCGGTCGATCTGGAAACATTTGATCGAAGACTATCCAGATCTATTCTTCAGTATTCATTTTCCGAAATAGGCGCCCATGCTGTTGTTCCCTTCAATACCACACCTTTCATATCTGAACACTGGTCTTTGTCACCGTATACATATTCACATATATATCGATGTCAACGTTTGCATTAATAGTCCCTAGTTACGAAATAAAGTCGAATAGAAAATATCCTCTAGAATTAATTCTATCTTGGTAGATGAAATTTCGCCTACAATAGCCGGGATGGAATTCAAGTCAAGTCAAGTCAAGTATTTGCTTTATGCACCCCGAAAGGTGGATATTCAGCAGTCACATAGTCATCTAACAATTATCGAACAAAATTATAGCATAATTATCGTGAGCAGTGAAAATATGAAAACAATTTACGAGATAACTGAGTATAGGTCCGAAGCAGTGCTTTCTGCGCTGACAAGAAATCGGGCAAGA